ATTGAATCTCATTTTCTTGGATAGGGACACGGAATACCCGTCTTATTTACTTCCTGAGCGGACATCAAAGCATTGACTTTGTCTTCAAGGTCTTGCATCTTCTTATCCTCATCTTCATATCTTTTTGAGTGATGTTGAGCAGAAATAATTGGGCTATCCCAAGTGTTATTAAGAGGTGCAATTGAACCACCCCTAATATTATTGTTAGGAGGATCCGTTGAACCACCCCCAGCGTTATTATTATTAGGAGGTGTATCAGCCATAATGATTTTATCTATTTCTGGATCACTATCATCTACAACATTCTGAGTGTGGCGGCTGGATTCAGCTCGCTGACTGGACTCAGGAGGTTAAGGCCGTTAAGCTAGCAATTCTCTCATTTGTTGGATAGCCAACTCCATCTCTGTCTTCATCTCAGCTTTAATTTCTTCACGTTGCTTGGCTAGAGCTTCTTGAAGCATTTGAGCAAACTGATCAGAAGTGATTGTGAACACTTCTTTGGTTTGTCCCGTGCTAGACATTGTATCATCAGAAACGATCGCAGAACAGGTGTCCGAGAGTTCATCCTCCGAAGACATTCCTTCATGCATTCTCTTGTAGTCCCTATGTCTGATGGCTCCTAACCGGAGTCGAGACATCTGTTGAGCAATTCTTGAATTGACTTTTCCTTCCGGAGAATAGTCGGGATTTGACTCATTTGAATGCCATTTAGATTTTTTCTTTATCAGCCATGTTGATGGTGACTTCAGGGAATTCATCATCTTGAACAACAAGCTTCTTGCGGAAATGTCTCGACTTGGGCTTTGATATTTCGGTAAAAAGCCTCTAGAACACTGAGATTTTTTGCGGGATGGCTTCTCGTTTGGAGTAGTCATATTTCAAAAATGCTGCTCTAATGAGTCGCGCATAGGAACAATGAGAGCTTATTTCTCGAATAATTCTCTTTCGAAATTTATTCACACCCACAACTTGATAGTACGATTCATTGGTATGATTGCCGAAAAATCCGATCGTCTGTTGGTATGACCTCCCAGGTATAACGATGTTTTTTAGCGAACACGTCTTCTTCTGTGGGTGTAAAGCCTTATTGGCATTTTCAGGACAACTTATTTTTGCCTTTGAGCGATCCAAGGTTATGTCAAGAGTCACACGTTTAGAACCACCCCCTTGCGGGTGTGGAGTCTTAACGGGCTCCGAATGCTGATTTTGCACAACTCCAGACTTTGGAATCCAAACTTTGCAGAGTTTTGGTGGTTCTTTGGCCACCGTTTCCTTGTTTCTTTCTCGTCTTTGTTGTAAGAGAGCACGGGCATGAGCAGCGTTTGCACGACGCTTTTATATACGTTCTTTGAGGGTCGAGCGAGCCCTTTTGATAAAAGTCCATTTATCCGTCGTTAGTTTAGCAGAGATATGAGTGATTGGTCGTTGAGATAACTGAACCACTCGCCTCCTCGACTCTAAGTCTGCGTGATAACGAACTCCGTCGGTTTGTTCCAAGGCCCTAGCCATTTGGCGAGCGCGGCGCTGACGTTGTCTCTGATGAGCCCTCTTTGTTAGTGCCGGCGAGCTTTGATTCAATGACTCTTTAATTGGAGAAGAGTCATTATGAGCAAAGAGATTGCTGGTAGAATCCTCAGCAACAATCAAGCGAGAGTCTTCATCTGTAGTGTTCGACGGAGTCGAAAACTTAAAAACCTTCTTAGAAGATGGAATCTTCCTGCATTTGTGAGGCGAGGAAGACTTTGAGGATGAGGATGACAGATATTCCTCAAACTTTGCTTGGTCGAATTCATATTCAACCATGGACTCAATCAGTATATTGATCGGCTGCGACACGATGGTCTCGGTAGCGAGACCGTTGGCTCACACTGTGGTCGCCAGTTTGTTTTCGTCGAGAGTCGTTTTCATCGTAGATTCCATTATAACTTAAATTGTTTACAGAGAATTACAACGAAAAGTAAGCAAATTACAACTCTCTTGGAAAATAACACAGAAATCGTTTATCGACTCCTGTTTTGTATGACTTTGCCTGTGTCGGGAGTGCTTTGACTCGTGGACCACCAAATCACAGATTGTGAGGGGTTTAAAGATTCTTCCTTCGTTTATCGAAGTAGGAATTTTAAGTGAATATCTTATCAAAGTAAGACGATCACTCTTCTTAAGATCAAGTCAAAGCTCGAATCTCAAGGAATCACGCGAGGAACTCAATTCTTGTTGTTTTCTCTCTGCTCTCTATGCTCAGATATGCTCCAATTTGCTCGATGCTCTTCGAATTGCTCTAAAAATGCTCTCTAATTTTATGAAAAACCCTCTCTCTCTCTTGAGAAGAACGCCTTAAAATGCTTCCCCTTTTGTAACCGCTGTCCCACTATTTAAATATCATCATTTTATGAAGTTAGTGGGGGTATTTTTAGTTTGTAACAGTCTCCCACGTTCTTTAACAGTGAATGGCCACGTGTCTTGGCAGTTTCTGAACTTCTCTGGACTGTCTGGCGTGCGAGATAGTAAAACACTGTCTGGCGAGACAGTAAAACACTGTCTGACGAGACAGTAAAACACTGTCTGGCGAGACAGTAAAACACTGTCTGGCGAGACAGTAAAACACTGTCTGGCGCCCAAGACAGCAAACACTTGTTTCTTGTATTCTTTTGATCTTTGGATGATCTCCTCTTAAGCTGTATTTGGATATCTTTCAGCATTTTTTGACGCCTACAACCTTCATGCACCTAAAAATTTAAAATTTACCAAAATTAACCTTAAAGTTATAAACAATTACAACAAAAGACATCTTCAAAATTTAAAAATCGCAAAAAATCTAAAATTTTAAAATTTCTAACAAGTACACATTAAATCTGGAAATTATTGCAGACTGATGATATTTGAGTTTTTCAAAAATTAATCTACAATTTTAATAATTACAAAAAGAATGCTTAGATTTTCAGAGTTGTAGGAAATATTCTGACATTTAAAAATTACTACCGACACATGAAACATAGAAGTTATAACTGCCAAACTTAAAAGTATTTTTTAAAAAAACACTCCAAAAGTTTTAAAAATTACAAATCGCACCCTTAAAGTTCAAAACCACAAAAAGAGTTTAAAATTTAAAACTTGGCAAAGAAATGTGTAATTATTTGGTATTCTTTCAAAGAAATATGTAAATATTTGCGTATTCTATATATTATATATATATATATATATATATAATATATATATATATATATATATATATATATATATATATAATATATATATATATATATATATATATAATTCTAATTTTGAATTTTTAAGTTGATGCTGGTAAACAAAAGTAAGGATTGATTAAAAATATTCGGTTAAAGAATAAAATTTTTAAAAAAAATATATGGTAGCTTTAAAATTATTGTCACAATATAAATCAAAGTAATTGCATGTAATTTTACTAATAAGTTGGAGCAGCAAAAACATATTAGTAACATTTAATTGATAGATGTTTAAATCCATAAAAATGATAGCTTAGCATCGATTGATTATAATTTAGAAACATTAATCTATGATGTTAGTAATATTTATAAGGTAAAATAATACAATGAATTACATATGGAGAAACTTTTAGAATGTTCGAATATATCATTCAAAAGAATCAAAATATTTCCATTGCAAATGATAAAGCGACTGAAATAAATCAAAAAAGCACCGACTGAGTTTTATTGAAGAATAATTTAACAATTTTATATCAATTAAAGAAGAATTCTCCATGGAAGATATAAAAAAATTAGTAAGTATTCATAAATTTTATACTTTGTTTTTCAAATACTAAAGAAATTAAATATTAATACTATAATCTAAGACAAATTGTTTATGAAAAATACATGTATTTAATTCAGATCTTTGTGAAAAATGATAAAGATAGAGCAAAAGTAATATTATTGACATAGTAGAAACTCTTTTTGGATACATATCAGAAGAATTCATTGTAGATGAAAAAAAGGTAACTCTTAATCTTATTTAAGTAATAAATTTGGAACACAAATAATTATATATGTATATGAAATTAAAATTTATTCTCATTAAAATAGGAAAAAAATTAAAGTCTATATTTCAAGAAGTTTGTGCTGAACATCATAAATACATTCAACTTCTTTGTGAAGTTAAACGAAAAGATCAAAGAATAACGAGCCTAGGAAAGATAACAATGCAAAAAATATAACTCCAGCCTGATGTCATAATTGATGTAGATGATGAAGTCACTATTATAGAATTGCCCAGGAAAAAAATAAATGTGAAGAATGACCGATCTTAGCTCAATAAAAAAAATAAAATAGAAGGAATAAAAGACAATATTTTTAGAATATTTTATAGAATAGTTTAATTGTTTTGAGTGAAACTAGGAATCTTTAGAAGGGAGTTTCATGAAATTTTTTTAGTACTTTTATATGCTTATATGGATGATTTTATCATATAAAAGTATACTAGAGTTAGCATTAATATTTAGTTTATAATTTTTATGAAATCTATTAATGATTAGGAATAAATTTTATATTATCTTTTGTTTAGTTTTAGCATACTTTTAATCAATCACCTTGCCTTATTAGTTTTAAATATTTACTTTTCTTGTATAACACTGTTTTAATATTTTTTACTTTCTCAACACTATACTTTCTCAAGTAAAGCTTGGTTTTATGTCAATCTAAGTAATATGAAAATTTAAATTAGCTTCAGATTATATTTGTTTTCTATCAATTCAAATATCAACATGAAAATTTATGTTAGATATAGCTCATTTAAACAAACTTAAAAAAAAATCGCAATGTTAAATTTTAAAGACAAAAGTAAGCACAAACTATTAAAGTGGAACCGATGAATAAATTTTAGTTAGGAAAAAAAATCAAAAATACTTAATCATGTTATCTAACCACGTGCATTGCACGTGCATTCCACCTAGTGTAATCAATACATGGTAGTTCTTTGTAGTTTTCTTCTCTTATCCCACTAACTTCCGTACTTATGTATTGTAGGTGATAAAATGGATGTTAAGCAAAGGTCAAGGAAAGACCATGGGAACCTACTATACGCTGTTAAATGCTTTAGCTGAGGATGGTAGACTTGAAGAGGCAGAGGAATTGTGGATGAAGTTATTTTCAGAAAATTTGGAAAGTTTGCCTCGCGTTTTCTTTATTAAAATGATCTCAATATATTATGGGGAGGGCATGAACGAAAAGATGTTTGAGGTAATCTTGCTATTCTTTTATAGGATTTGCATAGTTCGTTATCATAGTGTCACAAGTCAGTCTAGTCTTGAGAGTCAAAACCGAATGAATACAGTGGCTCAATGCATTCGGAGTAGAACTAAAGGCACGTGCGCATTAGTAGAAACTTTGGTTCTTTGCAGAATCACAGATATTTTTCTTTTGAGCTACATCTTGTTTTACTGCAGGTTTTTGCTGACATGGAAGAGCTTGGAATCAGGCCAGATCAAACCATTGTGAATATGGTTGGTAATGTCTTCCAGAAATTGGGCATGATGGATAAATACAAACAGCTTAATAGGAAATATCCACCAGCAACTTGGGAATACCGATATATTAAAGGGAAGCGTGTAAGGATAAGAGTGAAGCAATTAAATGCTTCAAATGATGAAGCTGACAAGCCGAATATTACATTCACTGAGCAAGCTGAAACCATTTCAAAAGACGTCATCCATGAACAGATCGAGTGAAGCAAATAGAGCTTTTGCACATTTCTTTCGTCCATGAACAGGCTGTATAGAATTTGTCAATCGGGAAGTTCTGTTGGTGTGGGAGATAAAAGATAATCTCGTGTACAGCTTGGTGCTTCTACGTGAAAATGGTCCGTATATATGCGAAAACTACGTGCCATATTTATCTGACCAAGGGATTTGGGGATTGATTGCTCCGCTGAAAGAAATGGACAATGGAAGAATTAAAAGGGAGTTCTGGCTTGCGCTGTCTGATACATGAAGATGGGGAGTCATATTATCCTCAATATGACTGCTGCATATTGTAATAACTGCCTGTATACTGGAGATTTGCAAGTCATCTTCCCTGTATCAATATTGTTCTATACTTCAGGTAATTTATTCAATATTTAATGGCACTCTTTGTTTTTATGAATGACACATTAAACAGTTTTTGTTCCGTGAAGAGTTTGAAGAGTTGAATTTTTCTGCTTCTATAATATTTATCTATTTATGAAAGAAAGGATATAGTTTTTATAAAAACAAGTGAGGATATATTTCATCGTGATATTTTAAGGGGTAAATACGGTTTAGTCAATTTATGGTAATATATTTATTCTACATATTACGTCATGAGCGAATTTGTAGAAATTACGATTTTTTACTATTTAAATAGTATAAGAACAATTCTTTTATAATTTCCTTTTCTGCGATTATACGTTCTCTTGTTTTTGATGATTTTCTAGTTATTAATCTCCTCTTTTAAGCTAACATTTAATTTAATCTATATATTAGTTCAAAGTATTTTTAAGGTGTTATATCTCCTTAAACAAGATATTTTAGATTCTTAGTCCGTATCTTAGCTCATGCATGACTGGTTTTTTTGGATAAATGCGGTAGTTGTTCTTTCCACATCAAATGTTGGGCCTACTTCTTGTAGTCCGAGTTATTTAATCGAGTAGAGGAAAATCCTGCACACTCTATAGACTGGAGGGAATGTGTGAAAGTGCCTGAAACGTCCGTGGGATTTCTTTCCAACACACAAAAACGGAGGGCCAGGGTAATACTCAATAGAAGAGGGTTTATTTCACATCACTCCCCTGAACTTTGGTGGATGCCGCACATGACCTCTATGAGCTTTGTTCATCACATAAACCCCTTGAACTTTGGTTGCGCGGAACTTCAAACTATTCTCACCGAACCCCTACACGTCATCTATAAATAATTAAAATTTTGTTTGAGAGAACTTTTTTTAATTAAAATTTGCTATTTGTCATTTACAAACAATACTCTCTCTCTCTCTCTCTTAAAATTTAGATTTTTTTCTCAACGAGATTTTAGTTATTTGCAAATTTTATGTAGGAGGGTCTGTGAGAAAAGTTTAATGTCGACGTTGGGGGGGTTTTGTGAGACACCACAAAGTTTAGGGGCTATGTGAGAAGATGCCCCTGCGCTCTTTGCTCTTTGCTCGATGCTCTTTTGCTTTTGTTAAACCTTTAAGAAGAGGAGGAAGAAAAAGAAGCTTTGTTGAAAAGCGGCAACAACTGCTGTTTGTCTATTCCTGTGCGTGGTGGAGTGGTGACATGGGCTCTTGCTCCACGTGCCATCCAACGCGGCTATTCCTCGCGTCGGCAGCCCCGCGCTCGTGCTTTTCATCCCTCTGCTTCGAAGGACCCAAAATTTGGTTGAAGGGTGAATAGAAATCTACTACATCTGTACGTATATTTAAAATTTATATTAAACTCTAAAAACAGAATAATTTTATTTAAAAATCTAAATATAGTTACCCCCGTGGTCCATTGTTTATATAAATCTACACATATAGTTTTAGTGCGTTATCATATATGATTTTCCTCTTTTTTTAAAAAAAATTATTTATTTATTTTTTAATATTCGAAAACCGTCTTTTATTCTTTTATAATCCTAGGCATCCTCCGCCTGCTTCCCTTCTCTCACGGTGATATATAAGTTGCTACGAGTCAGAAGACGCCTCACTCTGACGTAGACACCAATGCCTCGCTCGAGCCTCCTCCTCCTCCTTCTGATCGCCACCCTCACCCCCCTTTCACGTGCCGCCCTCCCCGCACGTGGGAACTCCTCCACCCAACGCCGGCATCGCCTCGATGCACACCGCCGTCACCCACCTCGGCACCGTCATCCTCCTCGACCGCACCCACATCGGCTCCAACCTCTCCCTCCCCCGCTGCGCGGGTCCCCGACTGCTCCGCCCACTCCGCCCCTTCGACCCGCACCCGCTCCCTCCGCCCCTACGCATCATCACGACACCTGTGCTCCTCCGGCCAGTTCCTCCCGACGGATCCCTCCTCCAGACCGGCGGCGACCTCGACGGCTTCGCAAGTTCCGCAGATCAACCCTCCGCTCTCGCCGGCTGGATCGAGCTCAGCTCCCCGTCCCTCTCGCCGGCCGCTTGTACGCACCGATCAGATTCTGCCCAACGGCTCCGTCATCATTCGTCGGCGCCGCGCCGCCCTCCGTTGAATTTACACCGCCGCGCGTTCATCTCCGCTGCGACCGTTCCCGTTCCTCGCCGCCGCCGGCGACGAGCAGATGGACAACTCTACCCGTTCGTGCATTTGTTGCCAACGGCAACCTCTTCGTCTTCGCCAACTCCCGATCCGTCGAGTACGACCCCCGACAACGGTGACGTCATCCGGGAGTTCCCGCCGCTCGCCGCGGGCCCGCGCAACTACCCGTCCGCTGGCTCATCCGCCATGCTCCCCCTCACCCCCGGCGCCGGCGGTTACACCGACGCGGAGATCGTCATCTGCGGCGGGGCCCAGTACGGGGTCTACTTGCATCGGGACGCGGAGGCGGCGGCCGGGACCACCTGCGGACGGATGACCGCGACCGACCCGAACCCGGTCTGGGCGACCGAAGAAATGCCGATGCCGAGAATCATGGGCGACATGGTAATCCTGCCGACCGGAGAATTCTGATCATCAACGGAGCTTAGCCGGGCTCTCAAGGGTTCGAGCTGGCGTCGAATCCGGCACTGAACCCGATTCTGTATCGACCGGACCAACCGATCGGCCTCCGTTCATGGTGCTGACCCCGACGACGATCCGAGAATGTACCACTCGACCGCCTAACTTGCTACCGGACGGAGCGGTTCTACTGGCCGGTAGCAACCCGCACTTATTTTATAAGTTCGATTCGGAGTTCCGACGAGTTGCGGATCGAAGCGTTTTCGCCCGAATATTTGGCGGCGGATAAGGACAACATCCGGCCAGGATTGAGGTGGGGCCCGTCAAGGTTGGGTACGGGGTTGAGTTCGAGTCCAGGTGGCGGTGAGTCTACCGGCGGTGGGGATAATCGAGGTGAACTGGCTGAACGCTCCGTTCGTGACGCACTCGTTCGCGCAGGGCCAGAGGATGGTGCGGCTGCCGGTGGGGCCCGCGATGGCGGTGCGGGAGCGGGCGGTACGGGTTGCATCGGTATCGGGTCGGGTGCAGGTCTCCGCCGACCAGAGTGGCGCCGCCGGGGGTTTTATATGGTTTTCGCGGTTAACCAGGGAGTGCCAAGCGTGGCTTCATGGGTCCAGTTGGTAGGCTAGGGCCCGGGCCCGCTCCTTTTGGTGGGCGACAAAAATAAAAAATAAAAACCTTTTTTTTCGTCCCCCCGAATAAGAAATTGGGTCCAGTATTGGTGGGCTTGGGTGGAGAGAGGGGAATCCGAAATGTGAATCATTTGCTCGTGCTTGGTTTGTCTAATGGGATGCGGCGCTTAAAAGGCTTATTAGTAAAGTTGCTTGTATCTCTCGTATGGTTTCAAGTGTAAAAGCGTGTATATTTTGTTAAATAAACCAACTGTAACTAACTTTTTTAGCGGAAAGTATAAGATCCTTGTGACCGATGATGATTGCTTGTTGGATGGAGAATGATTCGTATTTTTTTATGGGATATCATAACGTATGATTGAAAATTGACGAGCTTTATTTAGAGGGAAAATGATAGGAACACACCCCAAACCATATCCCAAATCACACCCCCTCTTTCATATGTTACAATGCATCGGGCCTCACATGAGATTTTAAATTTTTAAAATCTCATGTGGGGCCCGATGTACTGTAGAATATGAGAGAGATGGTGTGGTTTGGGATGTGGTTAGGGGTGTGCTTCTAGTGCCTCCCTATTTGAGTGTGATGGAGAAAGCCAATGGTTGTTGGTTTTAATTTGTTTATAATTAAAAAAAAGGTATGGGAGAGGAGCAGGGGCGGAGTTATATTGAGTCTAATGGGGTCCCAGGACCCCAGTAAAATCTAAATATGTACCAGATATTACATATAAAAAACATAAGTGCAGCAATGGCCCAGTGGTTTAACACTCCAGGACCCCTGTAATCCACCAGAGTTCGAGTCTGCTGGGCTGCATATTTTCACGATTTTTTTGGACCCCATATGTGTTTTTAAATTATAGTTTGTTATTAAAATAATTTGTGCGTAAAATCTATATTATCAATAATTTTAGGACCCCGTATGTTAAAAATCCTGGCTCCGCCACTGGAGAGGAGAATGATTGAGAGGCTAGGATAAGGAAGATAAGGGACGAGGTCATAGCCATCGAAGTCTTTGTGAGATTTAATTAAAAAAAAAAGAAATATCATAAATTATTAGTCATATTCAAGCGGGGGGCTCATTTATTGTCCTTATTAAGATGGGGGATGGTGACAGAACATAATAGCGAGCTCATAAATTTTGTTTTTATTTTTGTTTTTCTGCTTGTTTTACTTCATTGTGATTTATTAATTGAATGATGATCATGCTTTTTTATATAAAAGAAAAAGGATGCGGTTTGAAAAGAACCCCCAACCGCCATTCCATTCCCTCAAAAACTGATGGATTACAAAATAGGAAAAATAAAAGGGCACACCCCCAACCACACACACTCTCTCTTTTCTATAAAATTTTAAAATCTCATGTGGAGCCCGGTGCACTGTAACAAAAAAGAGAGTGTGTGTGATTGGAGTTGTGGTTGGGGGTGTGTGTTGGATTTAAATCTAATTAAATCTATTTGTGGTCACATATGATTAAACTGTGTGTATTGCTATTCTTCATGATAACTCACTGAAGTGATCAATTAATTTGGGTTAATGGGTATTTAAATAAACCATGAGGTTATATATGCAGATACCAGGTTGTAATTGTAATTTGATGATGGGCTAAATTATAAATGTACAACATCTATATATATGGGGTTATGGTCCCCTAATTTAGGGTTAGCCACTCTCGTTCTCTTATCCCCATCTAAAGAGATCTTAAGGAGAGAAACCCTAAGATTAGAAGATCAAAAACCCATCTCAAATCCAAGCTATGAATTCAGGTATAAGCTTCCGCTCTTAAGTTTATCCTCTATGATTTAATCACGTTTATGTTCAACAGTGGTATCAGAGCCATCTGTGATTAATTCTTAGGGGTTTAAGTTTTTTAAAATTGGTTTTTTGATCTTAAATCTCTTTTTTTCAAACTGTTCACGGATGAACAGTAAAAGTTTATTTTTTAGTTGATTTTTTCTTTCAATTTTTGGGATCCATAGCATTCTTGAATTGTAAAGTTCAATTCTTTTTGGTTTGATTCCACTTTTGAGGCTTGGATCTAAATGATTTAGTTTAAAATCGAAAGAAAAATGGGTTTTTTTGCTTTGGTTCGTCGTCTTTCTCCAACTGCTCGCCGGAGTTGTATCGACGGCAACCCCCACTGTCAGTGGCGGCGGTTTTCAGATCGAGTCCCTAAGGGGTTCGTTAGCTGCAGCCCTAGTGGCGGTGGCGGTTCAGTTCTGAACCCTAACGGGTGAAAGAAAACTTAGGGCTTGAGGACTTACCAGTTCTCAGGTGAACTTCGGTTGATTTTCAGCGAACCTCGGTCTGATTCCAACGAACCTCGTGTTCGTTTTCTGACGAGCCTCGTGCTCGAATCCAACGAACCTCGCGTTCGTTCTCTGACGAGCCTCGTGCTCGACTCCAGTTGAACCTCGTGTTCAAAATTTCAGTCGACCCTCGTGTTCGATTTCAGTGAACCTCGTGTTCGAACAATTTCAGCGAACCTCGTTCTAATTCAGTGAACCTCAAGTTCAACTCAAGTAAGCTCGACGCTCGGTTTCAGGTGAGCCTCGTGCTCAATTCAGCGAGCTCGATGTTCGGATCTCAGGCGAACTTCGAAACCGAACCTCAGGGGAGCGTTTCAAAGCTAGACTTCTGGCGACTCTTGATCTCGGTGAGCTTGACCTTCGTCGACTTATTTGGGGAGATCAGACGAGCCTCGTGTTTGTCTTCAGGCGGAGCTTCGGCTCTGGTTCCTTAAAAGACGAGGCTGAGAATCGTCTTTGTTTCATCGGCTTCGATTTTGGGCATTTTTCTCTCTTTCCCGTCGGGTGAAAGAAGAGAACTGCAGTGGGGAATGAACAAGGGCACAAGCCGACTTAAGTTTATTAAGTTCTTGGGCCTGGACTTATCCAATTGAGTCCATTTGGTTATGGGCCCTCATTTAATTTAAAGATTGGTTATTTGAATATGGGCCTAATTAGGTGTGCTTAATTTAATCAATTAAGTTATGGGTCCTAATTAAGCTATGGAAAATTCTTTTAATTCAAATTAAGTTGTTTATTTGAATTAATTTTGGTAGTTAATCAATTATTTATTGAATATCATATCTCCATGATAGTATTTTGATGATAACAATTTATATAATGTGTGTTATACAAATGCACTAACTTTTATATGCAGATCTCAATATCAAAATATGAACAAGTGCAAGTTGATTTTAAAGCATTATGAAGTGAAGAAAATGAAGAACATATGAGATTGCCATTTTTCTTTATAATTTATAATCTACTTTGCATAAATTTTAAAAGAACACTATTCACCCCCCCTCTAGTGTTCTAGTGTATCTATTTCAGATCCTACATTTGGTATCAGAGCAAGGTGAAAGATGGCATTGACAAATACTTCACAATTCAAAGAAGGTCACTCAACAAATCGTCCACCGATGTTCGATGGATTGAACTACAATTATTGGAAGTGCCGAATGAAGATTTACCTTCAATCAATTGGCTACGAACTTTGGAATGTTGTGGAAACAAAATATGAGAAGCCAACAACTCCATTTACAGAATGGACTACTTCCCAAAGAAATAATGTAAATTTGGATTCAAAAGCAATGAATGCATTATTTTGTGCACTTGACAAGAATGAGTTCAATAGGGTGTTAACGTCCACATCTGCATACGATATTTGGCATACACTTGAGGTAACTCATGAAGGTACAAATAAAGTTAAAGAATCTAAAATTTCTGTTCTTGTGCACAGATTTGAATTGTTCAAGATGAAGGAAAATGAGACTATTGGAGAAATGTTCACAAGATTCACCGACATCACAAATTCTCTCATTGGTCTTGGAAAAACATATACACAAGTGGAGATAATAAGAAAAATACTTCGATCACTTACTCCACAATGGGAAAAGAAAGTTACCGCTATTGAAGAAGCCAATGATTTGTCAACTCTTACGGTTGAAAATCTTATTGGTAATCTTATGGCATATGAAGTTCAAATTAAAGATAGAAAGAATAATGAAGATACAAAGAACAAGAAAGTTCTTGCATTTGTTTGTTGGAAATTTGCAGTAAAAAGACAATGAAAGAAAAATTGACTTATATTTCTCTCAAAATCGATTACAATTTGGATTCCGATTACAAAAGAGAGGAGAATGAATTTGATTCTCCCCTTTGTATAAAACTGGGTTCTTCTTGGTAGCGATGAGATGCCTCCCTCGAATGCTCGCGTCGAGTTTGCTTCTCGTTGACAATCCGACGTCTTGATTCACTAGAACAATATCTTCTCCTCACGATTTGACGTTGTGGAGAACTTGCGTGGCAAGTTTGAAACTCTGGACGAGTTGATAACTCTGGACGAGTTGGAAACTCTTGAAAAAGAGTTGATTTGAACCGAGTATCGGTTCTCAAGCCAAGGCCGAAGGTTTCAAGGAATGCTCCAAAGGATGAATGCTGATCTCTCAATCTATGATGCTCCAAGATCTCCCCCTTTGCTGCCAAGTCCCAGATCCAAAAAGCCAGCCCTTGACCGAATTTCCCTTTTTTGATGAGAGAAAATCCCCTCCTTTAACTCAATTGAGTTTCTCGTATTTATAGGGGTTTAAGGGGGTGTAACTGCCCCCTTAATTTGCTCCTCAATGGGCTGAGTGGGGTGTAACCGCCCCCTCTTAAACAGCTCCCCAAATCGTGAGGAAAACAGTTTTGAAACCGTTCTGTTAGTGCTTTGAACGAGTCAAAACGTCAATCTGGGCGTTCTGGACCTTAACTCTGCGTCTTAGAGATAAGACACAGAGTTGGGCGCTTGTTGGGAGTTGAAAACGCAAGGGCCGTTTGCGTTCGGACCTTAACTCTGCGTCTTAAAGATGAGACGCAGAGTTGGACGTTCGTTGGGAGTTGAAACGCACAGGCCACGCTGTTTTAGAGATGAACTCTGCGTTTTAGGCTGAAAACACAGAGTTGGGCCTGTTTTAGGCTGAAAACGCACAGTTGGGCCGTTTTAGAGATGAACTCTACGTTTTAGGCTGAAAACGCAGAGTTGGGCCGTAACTCTGCGTTTTGATGTTATATCCCAAGGATAACCTCTGCGTTTTGAGGTTATAACGCTGGTTCGACCTGTGCGTTTTGACTCTGTAATGCAGAGGCGAACCTTAGGTGGGCTTGGCGAGCTTCAGGCTAAATCCAATGTTCAGACGAAGTCCGGTCTTGCAGACGGTCTTCGGAACATGACTTGTTGCGAAGAACAGGTCATAACTTTCAAACCGTAAGTCGGAATTGGACGAATTATATATGAAAATCGGCTATCTCGACGAGACGGAGCCATACAAA